TGGGTGCAGGCTCCGCACTCCCGCCCAGCTAGAGTCCCCATCCCGCCCAGCACCCAAGCAAGCTGGAGGCTGGGGAAGGCACACAGGTCCCTGGGGTGGCAGCCCTGCCCAGAAGCTGCGTGCTGGCTGGGCCGGGTCCTTCCTCAACCCCATCTTGTTTCTGCAACTGGGACCCACAGTTTGGGAACCACTGTATTATAGAAAAGCCTAAGATAAGCAACCTCTAAATAAAAAAAGCCCAAAAAACCCACAACTCGTGACTCTAAAAATCAAAGCGACTTTTCAAAAAAAACAAGCTCAATTCCACTTATAATAAGCAGACTTGGCAACACTAGTGGCAGTGAGGCCAGTGCGGGGGAGGGGAAGAGGAGAGGAAAGGAAGGGAAGAGAGGCAGATGGGGCCATTCATGCTGCTGCCACAGAGGGAAGGACCAGGTCCCCCTCACAGCTCTGGGCCCTAGGCATGAGCCTAGTTTGCCTATGTGTTAATCTCGCCCTGCCCAGGTCTCGCCACTTTCCTCACCAGCAGGGATCCTAATGTTCCCTGTTTAAAAATTGCAAATTCTCTGATAAAAAACCCCAAATTCTCTCATTAAAATACCCAAAATTTGTGTTCTTCCACGATTAAAATGAAACTCCACTATATAGACAGAGATAAGTTGGGCAATGTTTTATTGATATATTTACAATTTTAAAGCAATTTGGAAGCCTACCAATGCCTCTATCATCATAATAAAATTAATTCTAAATATCTATACACCTTGGCACATGCTTTTGGTTTTAGTATCAGAGAAAAATCTGAGCTGTCCCTGCCCCCTTTGCTCACCAGGATGTGGGGGCAGCTGCAGCTGGACCTGCAGCTGCTTTGTGGTGCTGAGCCACACTGATATGCCAGTGCTCTATCCCTGTCCATGCCCTTGCCCCTCACTCCCAACCCACAGCCCTGCCTGTGTCCCTCATTCCTAACCCACAGCCCCTGCCTGCCCCCTACTTGCTCCTTCCCAGCAGCAGCTCCATCCCAGACCCAGGACATGGGTT